TTCTGATTGTATTTATTTGGGCTTTTTCTCTTTTTTTCTTGGTCAGTCTAGCTAGGGGACCATTGATCTTGTTTATCCTCTCAAAGAACCAGCTTTTTGTTTCATTGATTTTTCTTGTATTATCTTTTTATTTTCTATGTCTCTGATTTGGGCTTTTATTTTGGTGATCTGGATTCTTCTGCTGAAGTTAGGGTTTTGGTGGTCTTGCTTTTCCACCTTCCTAAGGGGATGTGTTAGGCTGTTAAATTGTGATCCTTCCATTTTCTTCATGTGCATTTGTAGAGATATGAATTCTCCTCTTACTACAGCTTTCATGGCATCCCAGAGATTTTGGGAAGATGTTTCTTCATTTTCATTTGTTTCCAGGTATCTCTTAATCTCTGTTTTGATTTCATCATTGGCCCAGGAGTTGTTTAGCATCATGCTATTTAGTGTCCATGTCTTTGTGGGTTTGAGGGGAACCTTGTTGGTGTTGATGTTTTTTTTTATTCCACTGTGGTCCAAGAAGGTGCATGACAAAATTTTGATCTTTTGAAATTTGTTTATGCTTGATTTATGGCCAAGTATGTGGTTGATCTTAGAGTACGTTCCATGTGGTGATGAGTAGAATGTATATTCTGTGGTCATTGGGTGGAGTGTTCTGCAGGTATCAATTCAGTCCATTTGGTCAAGAGTCACATTGAGGTTCCGGATCTCATTGCTGATTTTTTCATCTTGATGATCTGTCTAGGGTTGTGAGTCGAGTATTAAAGTCCCCAGCTATGATAGTGTTAGAGTCAGCATCTTTTTTGAGTTTTCCTAGAAGTTGCTTTATAGAAGTTGTCATTCCTATGTTGGGTGCATATATGTTTAGGATGGATATTTCTTGTTGATGTAGTGAACCTTTTATCATTATGTAGTGGCCTTCTGTGTCTTTTTAAATTTTTGATAGCTTATATGGTATTTTGTCTGAAATTAGGATCACGACTCCTCCTTTCATGTTCTGTTCACCTGAAAATTTGTTTCCCATCCTCTTACTTTGAGTCTGTGAGTGTCCTTTCTAGTGAGATGGGTCTCTTGAAGGCAATATATTGTTGCCTGGTAATATTTTATCCATTTTGCCATTCTATGTCTTTTCAGTGGTGCATTTAGTCCATTCACATTCAGGCTAATTATTGAAATGTGAGAGTTGATCCCTATAATAAGGTTCTTATAGAGTTGTTGTTGTTGTTCCTCTTTGTTTGTTGTCTTTCTTTTGGTTTTGGAGTTGGTTCGTGTGTGTTTTACTCTTTTTCCTGTACTCTTGTGAAGAATGTTGTTGTTCTTTTTTTCCTTTTCTTCTGTGTTCAGTTCTTTCTTAAGTGTTTCTTGTAGAGATGGTCTGTTGGTAGCATAAGTTCTCAGGGATTGGATGTCTGGGAAAGATTTTTAATTCTCCCTCACTGATGAAGCTGAGCTTGACTGGGTACGTTAATCTTGGTTGAAATTGTTTATCCTTTAGAACTTTGAAGATAGGGCTCCAAGCTCTCCTAGCCTGAAAGTTTTCTGTAGATAAATCTGCTGCTATTCTAACTGGTCTTCCATGGTAGGTAATCTGGCCTTTTTCTCTTGCTGCCTTTAGGATTTTTTCTTTTATACCTAATTTGTTTAGGTGAATTATTATGTGTCTGGGACTTGGTCTTCTCATTTTTTGTCTTGCAGGGGTTCTGTGAATCTCTTGTGTTTGAATTTTTGCATGAGGGTGAGATGAGGGAAGTTTTCTTCAATAATCTCATGAAATGTTTGTTCCAATGTGACCTCTGTCTTTCTTTTTCAGGAAGTCCAATTAACCTTAGGTTTGGTCTCTCGAAGTAATCACTCATCTCTTGAAGGTTTAGTTCTGTCTTTTTAAGCTTCTTTTCTATGTTTTTGACAGTTTGGGTTAGTTCTATATTTTGGTCCTCAAGCTCTGAGATTCTTCTGCTTGGCTAATTCTGCTTTCCATGCTTATCAGTTTGTTATTTATTTCATTCACAGTGTTTTTTACTACTGTCATCTCAGTTATCAACTCCTTTCTAGTTTCTTCTTGTCTCTCCTCAATTCTTTTTAATCTCTCCATTAATGTCTTGATATCTAGGTTTGTAGTTGAGACCAGT